CTAAACACGCCGTAAATCTGTTTTACTATATTCTTGAGAATTGTCAGTGTGCCTAATCTGATCCTGTAAAATACAGTGCTCATAAACTCGGCACAGACAAACACAACAAACATACATGAAACTACTTGGCAATCCCATTACCTGATGCTAAAGTTTATTTTATGCTCTCTTCTGTGTGTGTGTGTGTGTGTGTGTGTGTGTGTGTGTGTCTCTCTGCCACCACTCCACATCAGCACCTGTAGCTGATGAAAGGAGGAGCATATATAGATGGGAGCAGCTCCAGCAAGAACAATAACACCACTGAAGATCCTGACGCCCCGAGAGCTTTATATCACTCAGGGCGTCCTTATGAACAGTGCAGCACCTGTTCAGGAGGAGATGTGATGAAATACGTACTTATCCCAAACTAATTCTCGCCTCTCCTCTGCCTGCCCTGAGGCAGTGTGGTGACTGACAAGTTTTAAAAACAATTTTTAGGCCTGCCAAATTCAGCTTGGCCAACTGATCACTACGGTGCAACGCATTCATATTATGATGATAGAGCAGGAAGTACGTGCTAAGAAATACAAGCTTGTTGGGCCAGGAGGGTTTTCTTGGAAGTAAGATCCACCGCTCGTTGTCCTCCGTAATTTGATTAGTGCAGCATTTCAAACACAAGAGACAGATTTTAAGACAAGAATCTCACAATTTTGATCCGACACTGATGAGGTCCATAATGGTTCAAACCTTTGGCAGACGATTTAAGAGGGAAATGAAACGCAGCCTGCGGAGGGAAGCCGATCAGACTTCAGTAATATGGGAACAATTGGTCCCTTGATGCAGACAAATGCGAGGCTCTGAGAGGGGGGTTTAGAGCCAGAACATAATTACACACACGCACATATACACACAGACACACCTGCATCAGGAAGTCAGCACTGACACTTCAACTCAAAAGTGTCACCCCACCTTTTCTTGCATGAAGTGTAATGAGGAAGGAGACTGCTGAAAAGAACCCTATAAACACACTTTATACAAGATAATGCAGTCGGATCACACAGGATTGAAATAACCTATGATATCTCTCCCGAGCTTTAAGTTTTGGATGAAAGTTTCCATCCCACTTCACTACAACCATGTGTATTACGCAAGGATGGAGGGAAGGTCACAGATCTCTTAACAACCGTAACAGCTAATTTGTCCATCCCTTTTCCAAACAGCCTTGATGCCAATACAGAGCCTTAAATTCTGTAAACACGAAACACCGGAACATAATAGGCATCCACGTCTTGGAAGAAAACACCTGAAAAATATTCCTCATTTCCTAGTTCCTATTTACGCTGACAGTTAAGCATCCATTAAGTCCAAGTACCGTTTGCTCTGAGGTGCAAAAGTCAACATTTCAGAAAACTCAACGAAAATGAAAATACTTCAGCAAATAATAGCATTTTGGAAAACAGGACATTTTAGAAAACACCAGGCCTAACCGCAATAAACTTTTTGATTCCTCTTCAAAAAATGAGTCGGGCTAGTTTTGATTATTTTACACATGTAATGCCGTCATACATGAATCATAAACATGGCAGGGAATAAAATGTTTTGCTGCAGTATACACACAAATCTGGCTACACTTAGAAGCTTCTACTATGGCTGCTAGAGGCACTGTCAAAAAAAATAAACAAGTGGATGTCTCATCTTCTCTTTTTTTTTTTTAAACCACAAAAAGGAGTGCACAATGTTGTTAAAAAAAAATGACACCAGGGTGGATGGAACCATGTGATGGAGAATAAACGCAGCGCAAACACCTGTGCAACGTGAACACACAGAAAATCATCACAATTATAAAAACAGCAGGTACATTACTCCACTCCTTAAAAAGAAAAGATATAAGTTGGTGATGTGTTTTGGTAAGTCGGCCTGCTCTACCTACCTCTGCTATATCAACCAAACCACAACCACCCCTAATGCCTTTACTGTTACATTATTTGCTGTGCATTCTGAGCCATGCAGTTGTTAAACCAAGCCCTTTCAGCTTTTTGAAAACAACAATCCGACACCTTTCCTCACCAGAGGAGCCAACTGATAAATTCTGATAATAGAAAATTGTATGTCATGTTTTTTTGTACAAGCCCAGTTTGTCACTAATAGCAGCGAAGACACAGGGCTCAAAGTTTCTGCCCTGGTCTGTGTGGATGACCACCGACCAGTCAAGTTACAGTTTACATCCATGTCTGTCCAAAATGTTATCCCTTGAACATTTTGTCGCATCAGACATTTGTGAGAAATTGTCATAATTAGCAAATGAATTCTTGAGGTATGGCCCAAAAAGTGTTTTGTGATGTCACAGTGACTTTTTACCATCAAATTCTAATCAGTTGAACCTTTAGTCCAGGTGGGCAAATTTGAAGAAATGTGCTCATGGCGTTCATGAGACTTTTGAGAATGATTCCAGGTGAAAATGTAATTGACAATTAAACACAGCTAAATCCACTATCCTTTTACACACACACACGTTCACATCGGCAATGCACATCCACAGTCGCTGTTCAAACTAGTGCGACTGCTCTCCGTATTATTTGAAGGGTTTGTGTCTATCTGAGAGTACGAGAGAGAGAGAGAGAGTAGATGTGTGTTATTTGCGTGGTTGCATTGTGGCTCACTGTGGGGGTGTGATACTGCAGGTTGCTGGCAGACTCACTCTACTGCACAGAAAGAGAGTGAGAGCAAGAGCAACTGATGGAAAGATGGGAGGCCTTCTCTCACTTTATCCTACACCACACACTCGCACGGGGAAGAAAAACCTGTAGGATCAGAATGAAATTCTCATTGATCGAGCCTTGATCATCTAGAAACACACACACACACACACACACACACACAGCCTCATAACCCAGTTAGAAATGTCAGCGTCCACGTTGGTTTCTGGCGTCCTGTTTGCATGGCTACGTAGTTAAACAGTTAGATTGCAGCAGACAAGGTTTCAGCTGAGGGCAGATTGTTAATAACCCTAATTAAACATCACAGCTGTAGTGTGAGAGTGAGACAGATTGGGAGAGAGTGCGACAGTCGGCGCGAGCGAAAAGGGAAATTGCCAAGCTCGAGGAAACATCAGAAGAGACAGGTTTTAAGGCTTACATCAGTACCGATGTGGTAGTGGTATTAATCACATGTAATTTTGACCTCAAACAGAGAGAGTGATCTTCCTTTCATCATTGATAATAACAACTCAATAACGGAGATAAAGACACGCTCGTCTTGCTTCACTAATGACTTGATTGAAACCACACTTCTTCTGGCTCTCCTAGAGCCTTTGCTCCATTTGCATACATCTGGAATGAATTGTCTTTACGCATACTGTACATTTAAAGAGACAGTGTGTGCAGGAGGGCTTTGGTGGGGATGGATATTGTCCGAGTGATGATGATTTGTGGCTATTTCTGACCTAATTGTGCATGCACTTAGTATCTTTCTAATACTTGCTCAAAAAAAAAAGTCAACACGCTCTCCAGTGTGAATCCCCCCCCCCCCCAACTCACACGCATGATGCCTGTGCACACACATGCACCCATTCCCTGAGGCCACCTGAAAACTGGGATCAGACACAGAAAGGATTCTGTTTTCTCTGTGATTACTTTCACAAAGTAGAGGTATGTTGTTTTTTTTACTATTACAAAGATCTGTTCTTTGATTGACGGGAGTGATGATAAATGCATGTTTTCTCAATGAAATGCATGTGCAAAAGGTAATTCAAATGTTTCCTAGCAACAAGACCTCCCTGTTGGTGCAACAATGCCGAGGCAACTTCCAGGAGCGCAGGCACCGACAGATTCGCCCAAAAACATATTGACACTGCTTTAAAGTCAAGAAGCTCTGACCTTTTTCAGCACTGCAGGATTCAGCAGTGGGTCTATTATTACAATTCAGAGTTGCACAAACATGCACTACTTAAACCAACAGAGCTTTTCTTTAAATAGCAATTCAGATCGCAAGATTTCTAAGGACACTAAATATGCCACACTGCAGTAACTATATGAAGCACCAGACGTGAGTATATTCGACGTAATGTTACAGCCATAAAAACATGGCATCCTGGGAATTTATATTTCATTGAATGTAAAGATGATGTAGATTCATCGCAGTGCTGAATCAAGACAATATTAAATATGCATGTGATAAGTATATATGGTGTAGAATGAAAATGTGTTCTTCAATTTTAAAGCTTGCATGAGGTTAAATGCCTGGAAAGAACCAGTTGCTTCCCACTGTCAGACTCTAAATAAATTTGACTTTGAACTAAGAGGAAATGTCGACCTTCTCTGATTGATCCACATGAGGTGGTGTTCAGAATAACTGGACTAGGTTTGTGATGAAAAGACTATCAGGTTTACACTCATGTTGTAGCAGATTTCATGACCTCAGAGAGAGAGAAAAAACTATCCGAAAGAGTAAAAGAGAGAAATAAATGAATGTGAAAGGACCTGATTTAATATCATTATTTTTTTATTAGGAAGTGGGAAATCTAACTCTTGTACCAGCCTGCGCATCTCTATCTTTGGGGGCTGATCACCTGCTGCTCAGGGGATGATGCACTTGACACTGCAGGACTTGCTGAAACAAGAGGCTGAGCTGCTGCAGCCAGTTCAGTCTGATGCTGCACGAGCCACTTGCTCTTTTTTTTTTCTTCTTTCTTTTTTACTGTAACATGTGCGTCAGTTTGAGCGCAACGACAATTTGCACGTGATTATGGGGACTTTGAAAAAGTTGAACAAAAAAGCGAAAGTCAGTACAAACCTCTGTGGATACCATGGGTTGTATGAAGAACACAACATATTAGCTTGATATTTATCTCACTATAAAGCAACATTATTTGTGATATTACTATACAATCAGTGGCTGCGCCACAATGATGTTATATGCATAAATATAATGCATAGTGTTCTTCGGGCAGATTTTGGGGAAGTTTAGTTTAGTTCAGATTAGATGTGGGAACATTCATCCCCCCGCTCTTTTAAAACTCTCACCTGTTTCTCCAGCGCTTCCTTCCCAGTGGTGGACATCTTGGGCGCCGGTGAGCGCTCGCAGGTGCATCCTTCCAACAGGTAAATCCCGGCAGGTCTCGCGCTCTGCTCGTTCTCGGAGTAGAACAGTATATTCTGGTAGAGGGCGAAGAACTTCTCGTGCCACCGGCTGTTCTCCGCCGTCTTCTTGCTCAGGTAGCCGCGCTTGGTCCCCTCTTTACGCGCGACCGCCGACAGAAACAGCGCGTGCCCTTCGTTGTAGCGGACGCTCTTCTGCATTTTTTGCCGCACGGTTTGGACGAGAGGGGGGGTAAAGAGTGGGACGAGCGGAGCTTTCACCGCGAGTCTATGTTCGCCCGGGGGGGGTTGCGTGTGAACTTTCCCCACCGAGAGACGCGCGGCTTAGCGGTGCCGCGGCGCACCAAAAAGTTGCCCCGCTGACGGGAGCGCTTCTGCAGAGGAACTCATAGTAAAGACGTCCGAGTCCCACAAGCACTAAAATAAATCCATGCTACTCGACAAAAATAAATAAAAAAATACACGCTACTATAAACAAACAAACAAAGCGAGAGGCGTGTCGTTCACAAAGGAGAGAACCCTCAAGTGACAGAATCACAGACCGGATAAAGTGTAATTCTCTCTCTCTCTCTCTCTCTCTCTCTCTCTCTCTCTCGCTCTCGGCGGAATTAAAGGCGGAGCATGAGTTGGTTGTGTGTGTGTGTGTGTGTGTGTGTGTGTGTGTGTGTGTGTGTGTGTGTGTCTTTGAGAGGGAGTGAGAGTTAGAGATGTAATGCATATTTTCTCAGTGGCAAATGTGATTTGTTTCTGCATCATTAATAGCGTTGCATCACAGAGAACATACAAGAAAAAAAAAGATCAATATAACATTCAACCTTTTCACAAAACCCCGAGGTCTACAATTTAAAGCCTCTTCATGTCACAATCTGTTTCCTTCAGGCTTGTTTAAAGGAGAGTATGGCTTTATATGTGAAAAGAGTTGTATAAAACCTATCTCCACCAGAACAGCCTCTTGGACCCCCAACAGTCCGGGTTCAAAGTGGGTCACTCGACTGAGACAGCCCTCCTTGCGGTGACAGTCGCTTCACGCCACGAGCGCTAACTCTCTCTCTCCTCTGTCCTGATTCTCCTGGACCTGTCTGCGGCGTTTGACATTGTGAACCACCAGATCCTCCTCTCCACCCTCGAGGGGATGGGCGTCTCAGGCTCTGCACTCTCCCTGTTTGCATCCTGACAGCTCGATCCTACCAGGTGATGTGGAGGGGGGCCGTGTCGGAACCACGCATGCTGACTACGGGGGTTCCACCAGGTTCAGTCCTGGGCCCCCTTCTCTTCTCGCTCTACACAACATCTCTGGGTTCTGTTATTTGCTCGCAACTACTAGTTTGTAGCACTTATTGTATTCGTAGTAGTTTGTTGCACTTATTGTATTTGTTTGTTTCCGCACTGTACGTTGGCTTTGGTTTATGCTCTTAGATGCTCGTTTAAACAAGGAGATGCACTTATGACTTCTGGTGACTAGTAGTTCTCTTGAATACCTATGTTGAATACACTTATTGTAAGTCGCTTTGGATAAAAGCTAAAAATGACTAATGTAATTTGAGCCACCAGAGGGAGCTGAAAAAAACGCCTTATGCGATGTCACTTGAGGCAACGTCGGTCAGGGCTGAAAACCAAGTTTGGAAATAAAAATAATAAAAACAGGAACTGTGGAGAAAGATGTGATCTTTACAGGCTAGAGACTTAAAGAGACTAGCCGCTACTAGCATAACACCCAGATCGCCAACCAAATTGTCAGCGGCCTATTTGCATTGTGGGTAATGTAGGTATCCACATAGTAACATGAAGAAGGATGCGCAGAGTAAAGAATGCATGATTTTTTATTTTATTGTCGATACTATAGACGTGCTAAATGCTCCATCAGTGGAGTTCTCTTTTAAGATCAAAGGACAGCAGGTGTGACAAGTTTGTCTTTTCTTTTCCTCGTTTAATAACCAAACACACTTGAGCCACATACAGCCTGGTATAGGTCAAATCTAGATCAGCTGGTATTAATTGATATCCTGACAATTAGGTTACAGTACAGACGATGGTGAGAGACAAAACCTGAGTTAAATCCTTTTCTCACACACACTCACTAGCAAAGAGAGCAGCAACAACCACTCTACTCCAATCAATGATGAGTCCTCTCTGGAACACGTTTTTACTTCTGCCTTGTATGTTCTTCTTCCACTGATGGCTGGGTTCTCTCCTCTTCATGGCGTTGACTACTGTTGCGGCGATGTCAAGAGTTTGACTGCAGCCACTCCGTGAGGGACGATCTGTCCGAGATGCTCAAAAGATCTGACAGAAGTTTCTTCTTCTTCCTACAGATAAAGACACAGAAATGTTTTTAAATTAAATATTGTACATATTGTATATCCTTGTGTGAAATGAAATCCTTGTTGTTAACCTCCGACCAGCAGCTCAATTCCTCTGTGTGCGATTATTGTGTGCTCAGCATGGCTTCCCTCCAACAAAAGACAAACATTTCATATAGGAAGGATTACATTGACAGAGAGGTATGGCTGTGTGTTTGTTTGTGTGTGCGTGCCTGCATGTGCGTGCTGACAGATATTTCATATGGTGAGGATTACTTAGGAAGAGGCTTAAGCAGCACTCAACTCCCAGCAGGCTGTCTGTTACAGAGCGAGGAGATGCGGCGTACGAATTTACAGAGATGGAAGACCGTATTTGGAGAAAGTGCAATACGCTGGCGCTTTGACGGGACGAGACTGAGAATTTGCCGTATTCAGCTTCCTAACTCAATCGTAAGCGGGACACCTGTGCCTGGCAGCGTGTGATTCATCCTAATAGAAAAACCTTGTCTACGTCAGCATTTTAAAAATATAGATTTTCTCCTGCGTTCCCTATTAGTGTGCGCTCGTGCATTCCTCTTAATGCTTGGAAAATTCAATTAGCCAAGGGAAAACATGATTTGGACCCAATTGGAAGAAAATATATGACAAAAGTTTGACAAAATGTACTCAATTTGGTTTTAATTAGCAATACCAGCACATTTATATTCATTACAATTGGATTACAACAAATTACGAAAACATTAATTTAAAATCAAAACAATTAAAATATTCTGCTGAAGGAATATTGCACCACGAACACAGCTAACTGAAAGTAGATATTGGCAGTGCACACTACACACCAGCTATATTGAAAAGCGTTCAAGAAACTCTCCAAAGGCACAGGAACTGAATTTTTTTCATCGATGAGAAGGTTTAAAGGAATACTCCAGGATTTAAGTATTAAACTTCCATAAAGTATTGGATTTGTGAGAGACGGATTAAAAAAGTAAACAAAAAATGAAAGCAGCAGAGGCCGACGTAGTCTGACTCCTAGTCTTTAATAGGTCAAGCTCCACAAACATCCTGCATTTCCAACAATGCATCTGGATAGTGTTTATGTAATAAGCTGCATTCAGACCGGAGTGAAAAACTCAGCCCCGATTCATTTGAATGAGGCCAGTCCGTCAAAACAGCGTCAATGCAAAGGGCTCTGGCAAAAAAAAACTAAAAAAACAGGGTCGCCTAGCAAAACATCTGAACCAGGCTCTATATTTACCATGTATTTGTTGACGTTGCATTGTGGCAGTTTACTTTGTAACGTCAACAGCATATGTTTCTACTGTTTACCTTGCGAAAGATCAAATAATTGCATAACTAATTGCTGTGCAGTGTTTTGGCGCCTGATGAGCCTTCAAATTCACAGATCCGTTACTCAATCTGGACTTCCTGGAATTCACTGTCTTAGCGGCACCCTAAGAAACACACCCCAAACAACACAGCCCCTTTGTGTTGTGTTAACGCAGCGCTGTTTTCAGTCTGTATGCCCACACTTGGGCCCTTCCTGCCAGGTAAACTCCCACATCTTTCCCAACTTTTGTTGTTTGTAACGCAGGCTTTACGTTCTAAGTTCTGGAGAGCCACAGAATATATCGTACAAATGTTTCTCACAGTTGTGCTGCCCATGACTAGCAAACTGATCTTTGTGTGTAAAATGAGTTATGTGCCCCTTTAAGTAATGGTCACAGGGTAACATGCGTGTTCACTGTACCTCCTGGCGTTGACCGTGCTCTCCAGCTCTCTGGCTTTGCGTGCAGCAGTGTGTAGTATGTGGTCTGGGATGTCAGCCAATCGGGCGACATTCAGGCCGTAGCTCCGCCCTGCAGCTCCTTCAGTTAACTGGTAGAGGAAAGTGATGAACTCTGGCTCAACCTCTCCATCTGTCACCATATACACACACACACACACACACACACACACACACACACACACACACACATACACACACATATACACGTCGATACATTAAAATATCCAACTGCCAAGAGATGATGATTTACAAATTGCCAAAGTAAGATTGTTCTAGATTGACCAGCAAGGCAACAATCAAACCCCCAAAAAAGCATTTTCATATGCTCACACAGACATACCGTCAGTGTCAGCGGCGATGTCAGGTTCATTGAGTAGGAAAGCCATGTGGTAGTTGGACACATGTTCAGGATACGCCCGCTCCAGCTCACACAGAGGAGGGTAATGGGTCACAAACAGGGTGAGGGCTTTCACCTAAGAAGAGGAAGGAGGAGAAAGAAGTGTTAACATTTTGATGCCAGGTCGAAAAAGCTGCCAGAGACTGTGTGTGCTAGGCTTTTCTAGATGTTAAGGATCAGGAAAACTGCAGGTCAGCCAGGTGTGGATACGATCTGTACATTGTGTGGACATTGGTGAGAAAATATCCAGCGCGGCTATAGGAAGCAGTCGCTGCTCTATAGCAGCCTGCCAGAGAAACTCGTCACTTCTGTTGTCTCCGACAGTCGGAGACGTCTCTCTGGTGGGTAAAAGTAAGAAAAGTAAGTACAGGCTGTACAGTAACATCGCTCGTGGTGACCCTCCACCTGCTATGTTTTTTTTTTTTCTGACAATAGATCTACCACCTTCCCACCTACTCACCAGCTTTGCAGAGTGCCTGTGAAAAAAAATACGATCTGATCGCAGTGTGCACAAAATGCAGGCAAGAAAATCATATCAAAACTGCAGTAAACGTTAAGGCACTGGCGTTGTACTTGTCATATCCATCTGTTGAACACACCCGGATGCTTATTGCATTTCATCAACAAGGAGTCAGAGAGGTCCTGTTGATTGAATAATGATCACGTATGAAAATCAATGAGCCAAGGTCCCATAAAACGCAGCGATGAAACAGAAACACTCATAAACAAGGTGAAGTCATTAACACAAAATAAACAAACCTAACAATCTAAAGCCATGCTAGTGGCTCTGTGAGGCTCGTGCTCTCAATAACGATGCTTACATGCTGAAGTGTAAGGTAATGTTAGCATGTAACGCTTTAGCATGTCAGCATGCTAATATCTGCTAATTAGCACAAAGTACACCTAAGGCTGATGGGAATGTCATTAGTTTTAGTATGTTTATTAAAGTCACTGTGAGGAACTTTTAACTGGTTATGAAACAGTTTAATACTGGTGCCTCTATATGACCTCCATAAGTAAACACTTTGCTTGAGGTCTTTCTAAAAGGACTCTGGAAAACACTAATCACACAAAATGAAAGTTACTTGTAGTTGCTTTATATATTGCAATAAATATGAAAATATTTTTGACCTGATGACAGCATCAGTTATTACAGTTCATCTTGAGGAGGACATAACGGTCTTTCTTAAACTACATGCCCTCCCATCCAGTCTTCGGAACCCATCGGGTATCAATCTGACGACGGATGAGCCTCTGGGGGCAAGGGGCTACATTTTCTGTGGATCCGGTGTAGCCGGCGGATATCTGGGCCAAGACTTTCCTTTTGCATGCGCTGCTCATTGCGAGACCGGAGTTAGAGCTGAGAGACGACATGTACGACCGGATTGTTTCACAATTGGCCAGTTTACAAGCAAATTTTAAACCGATCAAAAGCTTACATGGTTATCAGATGGTAGGTTCCCAGATTGCATTTCGGTCAATGCGTTCCACCTCTTTTGCTCTCCACACGACTGTTTATCTCCATTCAACCAACGCCTGCTTTAACAGGATTGATCCACGCCACTCGGCCTACAAACGGAAATGTCTTGACACAAGTTAGTGGTTTTCAACCTGGGGTTCGGGATCCCAACAAGGGGTCATGAGATGACTCTTAGGGGCCGCCAGATAAGAACTAGGGCAGGAGATAATGAAAAACAAAATTCAGCTGCACAAAATGATTATGCAACGTGAGCATGTAGTCTGTTTCAAGGGATCATAAGTATATGTGGATTTATATTAATCATGGCGACCACTGTGATATTTCAGTGGATAAGTGGAAGCTTTGACCTGCTGGTGGCAGTGGAGGAAAAGTCAGCAAAGTCAATGGGATACATCCTCTGGGGCCCATGAATGCGTGTTCAAAACCTCATGGCCGTCCCTCCAATGAGTGTTGAGATACTTCAAAAGGTGGACCAGCCAACAGACAGACACTGTTATGCCATGAGAAAAAAGAAAAATCTGCAAAGCCATGAGAATATAAAAAAAGCCTTAAAAAGTACAACAACAATATAATTATTATGTATAGTAAACATTGAGATCTTGATTCAATTCTACTAAATGTGTTTCTTTTCTTCTCTGTAAATAATAATTATATTATTTCTTCAGCCTTATAACAAAAAAGAGAAGTAGGCGGGAAAAAAACAACAGAAAGATAAAGGAGATAAAGTGACACATATACCAAATGGTAGGTATCATAACAAATGTTGCATTATGTAACACCGTCTGTGTTACCACAACTAAGCAAAAGTTGTCTCTGGAATAACAAAGAGCATCTACAGCTACCGTACTTTGGCCCAGAGTTACTTAACTGCCTCCGTACCCTGCAGTGTGCTGAGCTTTGTGGATATTACCCACCAGAGCAAACGCATACATACAGTATTGATGAAATAAAGCTGGATTAAATATTTCAAGGTTAGTATCAATAAACACTATGTCTGATGATGACAGTATCGATAGCAAAGAGTGTGTGAGCTCTCGTGTTTTACATCATCGCAGCAGACAGGCGGCTGCAGAACGCGCTCGGTCTTAGAAAGGTCACCCGTCACTAGTAATACCTCCCTCTGAAAGAGACGTGCATGGTGACTCCCACATGCCTTAAATAAAGACACACAGACCTGCACACCTGTATGGCCGCACATACAAACACACACACACACACATAAGCTACTTCAATCATTCCTGTCCACCTACACCGAAAGGTAAAAAAAAAAGCAGAGCGTGCTTCCTTGATAATGTGCTGATTAGGCGCTAATGGCAGCTCATTACCAAACCACCCTGGGTGAGGTGACAGCCGTGTTCTGCAGAGCGTGACAACCTGATGTCAGTGCTGAAACAATTAATCAATTAATCGTTTAGTCAGCAACCAGAAAATTCATCGGGGGCAATTTTGATGATCAGATAATTGTTTGAATTATGTAAAAACAATCAGCTGGTGCCAGAATCTATGATCTTGCACATCCATATCTATAGAGTGGGTTTGAGTTAATAAGCAGTTTAAAAACATTCTTTGCAGTTCAATTAAATAAACCTGAATTTTTCTTTCGTCTTGTCTGTACAGTTTGTTTATCAGAGATATTTAACTGAAAACATCTGACTGCTTTAGTATGAAACAACGCTGATGAGAGCTGTGAAACCATAGCCCGTACAGGAAGTAGACATAGTCAACTTGACGTCACTTATTGGTTCGTGGACTGCCGTTTGAAGCCTTGAGTTTGAGAGGGTGGAGCTAAGAACACGCTGAAAAAGACATTTTTAGCCAACCAAAATGCTACAATTAACTTTCATGAACTGATAACACACTGTGAAAGGGTTAAAGTTGTATACTTTAGGACGGGACAGCACAATCACAAGGCAGCCCCTCCCTAAAACAAACCCTGTTTTATGGTCTCTCTGACTCTAAATAAACCTTAATTTCCTAAATGTATTACTAGTATTGAAGACTTGAAACTAGAGATTGAGAACATAAACTCATGTTTACAATGTTTCCTGAGGTAATAAATCAAGTCAGAAATAGAGTCATTTCCTCATAGACTTCTATACGAACAGACTTATTTTTGAAACAAGTAGAGTCGCCCCCTGCTGGCTATTAGGAAGATTGCAAGTTCAGGACACTTCCATATTGGCTTCACTTTTCAGAACCGGAGGTTGGCGATTGTGTGAGACTGACCCTAAACACTAACTCTGCAGGCTAGAATAACAAAACAATGAGCTGAAAGACATTAAACGTCTCCGTAGGCTGGTGGGGAACTGAAGGGTCAATTGATAATTCTCTGCCGGTTTGCCTATACAAGCAACACCTCGTCATTTGATCCGATGTTAATTAAAAAATTGGTGAAGTTACGTTAATTGATTGGGAAATAAAAAACTAGCTGGAGCCCTAGAAGAAACGTTACTGAAGGCCTAGTGATTGTCTGTTGAGATATGATCCAGGTTTAATGGTGTGTGTGATTTTAAATTTCCCAATCCTCCAAGATGATTATGATATAGACGAAAACATAAGATTGGGGTTGAGTCTGGGACTTGAAAAAGCAGAAATATCTATAAATATCCACTCCTAATGTAAGCTGAAATGTGCTGCATGTTTATAAACAGATTCTTGGAGCGCTCAGACATTAAGGAGGCCTGTCCAGATGGGACAGGCTGTGTGTTCGGCTCACTTGATATGCAGGTTCAAATAGAAACAGCATGTCTGACAGACATGACTGCCGATCGGCCACATGCCCGTGGATAACACTTTCCCTGCATTGTGTCACCTCGTCCACCTCCTCCTCTCCTGTAATACGTCTCAAATTGGTGTCAGTTTCACTGTACACCTGTAGAGATGCGTTGTCAAAGTGTATGTGCACATGCAAGTGTGCTTTCCACCCGGTGATCTGATCCCGAGGAAAAAGGCCGGAGGGGTCAACACCACTATTGTCGTCTCTCTGTCTTGTCCCTTCTCTCTATCCAATTAGACACAAATCTAATTCCGACTCAAGTCAACACCCTCTGTTCTCTCGCCTCACAACGAACAAGGCTCTCGCTGAGATGCTGTGTGTGTGTGTGTGTGTGTGTGTGTCACCAGACCTTTGACTTTGGCTGCGAGTCAATCTCGTTCTCTCCCTGGCCTAAGTGATCTGAGTCAGGGTCAGTGACAGGTGCGCAGGTGATGGCCTTTCCTTTAGATGATACTGTGTCTCTTGTTTGTAGGACTGACTGTTTAGGATGCCGACATAGACCAGCGCTTAAGGGCACTTTCGGAGGGAAAAATGATACACTGGCCTTTTAGAAACGAATGTCAATTGTCCAATTATGTCCCCGCCCCTGAAAAAAATCTGCTGGTCGTGGTGCAGCAGTTATATATGGTCAAATGATTACTATGACTGTTAACATATTTTAATTGGCCAACTATTCTAAGGGAAGTAGACCTACTGGCATGACTATGCAAGTAAAGAATAATATTTTAAATGGTCAGCATCCCTTGATATATAGCTGTAAGAATAGCAAACATGGACATATACAACGTTTTATATGTTGAGGCGACATTAATTAAGTATAATCAATAAAGTTTCATGGTCAGTTGATGCAGCATAGTAATCTATTTCACAGGGCAGAGCTGGAAACCTAAGTAGCAATAGAAGCGAAAACTGCTTGAATTTACAATTTGTTTTAATTTGATGATTAAAAAATATGTATAAATAATTATGCACTCCTCCACCTAGTTTGCTCATTTTTGATAACTGGTATAAGATGATAAAAAACAAAACAGATGTATATATATATTGCAACGTTGTTTTTTGTTGGTCAGTCAGTTTTTGCCTTCATGGAGGTTTTGATCAGCGGAGTTTGGAGTAGAAATTTGAGTTTTATTGGATTGGCAAATTTGGCAATTTTATTTCATCCCAATTAGTGGGAACAGGATGCTCTTCTCTGTTTGTTATTCAACAAGTGGGAAAAAGGACACCGAACAGATTTAACAATTTGATTTAGAGAACTTGCACTTTTTCAGTCACACAACAGTCAGTGTTAGAAAGTAAGTTCTGAGAAGAAAGCAGGCAAGCTGTGCCCGTGTCCGTGCCAGCATGAAGAGAACTATTGTTTAGACTTCTGACTAACTTGTCCTTATTCATGTCAGAATCACAAATCAAGGGGATGAAACGAATAGTTGATTTTTTTTATTTTGATTTAAATTATTGTTCACAGAATATGATGAACATTTTATACTTTTAGCTTCTCAAAGTGTGAGGATTTGATATGATTGTAAATTTTATATCTCTGGGCTGTTAACTCTCGGTCGAACACTATAAGCAGCAAGACATCTGGAATCTGGGAAATTATAATGGGCATGTTTTACTATTTGACATTGTTTTAGACAAAATAATTAATCAATAAATCTTGCAAAGAAATAAGCAGATTAATGGATAAAATAATCATTACTAGCAGCCCCATACAAATCACTCAACGTTGAGTTCTACTAGAAGCAATATCACGTAGGAAAAGTTTATTTACCAATAATTTGCAGTCACAAAAAGAACACAGAATGAAATGACTATGACAATTGCCACATAATGTAAATGAACAAATGATGAATGAAAGTGATGTCACACCATCAGACACGGTCCTTTGCAGGGCTTCAGCTGAACATGCACAGCCAACATTTTGTAACTACGGGGACGGGGATTGGCAGAAAAAAACAACATAGTTTCGGCGTCTGGTCCGTCTTCTCCGCATACCACCAACGAATCTAGCAAGAAAACACACTGATAATCTACTATAAAAGATATAAATGATATAGGTGCTTCTGATGCATGCTTGCCAACGTTTTTTCTTTCTTCTCCCTCTCCCTTCTGTTCTCCTTGAGTTTCAATTCCCCCCGATCTCCTCAGAGCATATCTATGAATGAGGGACAGCCTCCACACAGCTCTCAACATGGAGAGGGCTATCAGCTAACGGGGCTAATAGCAGTACAAACACACACACAGAGGGAGAGCGACTTCATTCCCTGCTCAGGTAGATATCGCTCCACTGTATCTAGCGTGTAAAGCAAATAGCTGTTTGATGCCGTATTAATGTTCTTGCCATAGCTCGAACAAAAGACAAAGGAATGAATGCCATCACAGTGAGTTGAGAGAAAAGACTGACTGGCATTCTCCTCTGTGTGCCGCATTCGAGTACAGAGCAGAAAGAGAGCAGTGCAGAGTCAGTGGAGCAGACCCGGGTCTTCGCGGGAGCTTTGTGCATCAGCTTGAGCACATCAGACCATTTACGCCCACGTGGAGCGATGCAAATGTACCCATTAGTGTGCAGCCAAAAGTGAGTTCTAGTGAGTCCAAGTGTAAAGCTGGGACTGATTCTGCCTGTTTGTTTAGTTTTTTTTACAGAGCAGTATTACAAAGATTATGCAGTCGCATGCAAGCGGCGAGCGATGTTTAGTGATGAGCTTAGTGTGAAACTAAATACAGGACCTGCTGTTGGCGTGAATAAAAGTGAGAGTCTGAGTGAGTCTGACAGTGAGTAATGGCTAAAGAAGAGGACAGCATGAGGTCACAGCTAGAAGCCGAGTCGTGTGCCGGTCGTGATTTCACCGGAAGTTGTTTTTTTGTGGTCCTCGCTCCTTCCTGATTTTCTGTTTCATTTTCTCTTCCTGCGTCAAGGCTGTTTCTTTTATCGAGTGGTGTTATGAAAGCCATCTACATTATCAACTACCTCTCAGGTGAGTGCCGCGGGGGGGAAAGGTTCATCACCATGGCAACCGAGCCACAGGAGGAGCAGTCTGACTCTTGACGCCAACAGTCGAGTTTGGCGAGGAGGAAGGAGAGGAGGACGAGTAGGAGGAAGAGGAGGGAGCGTGAAAGACTGAGCGGGTCGGCCTGTACCGAGGAGGCCTCAGCACAGCAGAACTTCTTTTGTTTGTCTTTCCTTTAATAGCAAGGCTTCTCTGACAAATCAATGCTGTTATACAACAGGTAGTTAGAGAGCTTCCTCCTCCTGCCAGCAGCAGCTGCATTAGCTGCTACTTACACATTTTCATTCTACGTTTTCCAGCAGGATTACATAACAACCACGATTCTGTCCAAAGATTAATGTGGAACTGTCTAAACATGAAAACTGGAAGGAGCTTTTCAAAGATAAATGTTTATTCGTCTATATTTGAACAGGGGTAACTCAGGGCAATTTGGACCCTTTTTGACTGAGGCCTTGGAAAACAGAAAATAAACAAATACCAGCTCTCACAGATTGGATGCAGCTTGTACGCTTTGATTATCCAGAAGGCAGCAGTGGAGTACGTATACTTTAATGGTAAAACTCCAGAAACCCATCAATGGTACCAGTCACTGAGCTGCACCCTCTGCCTCATGCTTTCACAACTGCCAGGAGGCCGCGAATATAGAATCAATGTTTTTTTTTGTAGCTCACAGTTCCTCAAGTGCGAGATTACATTTTGTGCTCCCTGAGGTCGGCGTGGACCATCTGAGTTGATAAATCCTTTGGCCCGAGAGAAGCGACAGCCCTGACGGCACTAATACCAGCAGCTGCAGGATTTCCTCCGGGTGAAGCGAGCACTTCCAGGATCCAATAATTAAAAGTTGGATTTGTCTAATCTTTAAAATTGCATTGTTCATATTTGGCTGTTAAGTCACAGAAGCGGCAGTGTTTTTAGTGGCTTCCGCTGTCACTGCAGGACACACTGCGTGTCAATTGACATGAAAAGTGACCGTGCAGAAAAATAATGGGTAATAATAGATCATTACGGGATATTCTTTGATTTATTTATTATATTCATCCTATTTTAGTCTTCACAAACTCTTTAGAATCATTTGTCCGTTTGCTGCTTCATTATGTTCTCCAGCTAGTCCACCAGCTGCTGCAGGAAATTAAGTTGATAAGAGCAGCCCCCAAAAACCAAAACTAGGACCCAAAATAGGCTAAAAGACTCCATAGAGCTGAGGGGTACTGCATAGTTCATTACAGCAAGTGATACCTTTCACATTACATGTGTGATTTGATCAATTGTGAACAATGATTTGATTAGTGCATCTTTTGGGGATTCTTTTTACTGACTTGTCAAAGTGTACAGAGACTGTCTGGGTAATGTTGTTGAATGTGTGTTTAACATTTTTGACATAATATCTAACAGCAGGTATAAATCTATATGGTGTTATTTGACAGGCAAATTAGAAAACATCTAACGGGAACGAACCGGTTTTTACACTATACAAAATTCAGAAGAAGTGTAAATAGCTAAGAAAATGAACAGCTGTGTGTATTAATTGATGCCACAACCTCAAACACGCAACCCCAAGTCAAACTGTAATAATGGGTGTTCTGTGCTCATGGCATTAATTGTTTGTTCAACACAAAGTACTGTAAATTCTCTACAAGGGGACAACGATTGACTCGCCAATGTCTAATGGTATCGATTACCCCGATAAACACCACCCTCCCCTCTCGTTCTCTCAGGGTACCACTGGTCTGTTGAAAATGGAGATACGCAACATTGTGCAACACCGAATGGGGCTCCTGACTGCGCCAGTACACATAATCCCACCAGAACGAACACACACACACACACAGACACACACACACACACACACACACACACACACACACACACACACACACACTCGGAGGAACACCGATTCCAAGCACTCGCAGCTGGAGAGCCCCACATGTCTCCAGCACTGCCTCGGCTGCTGGCTAAGATTGTACACTTCTGCTTTCCGTACGCATCATTTTAACGACGGCTTCCAGAAAATAAGCAGGAAACATATGATCAGACACCTACAGACACACATGGTCCATTGAGAGTGCAAAAGTGGACATTGGACAACCTGTCATCAGCCTCGATTATGTGGGCGTTTCATGAGTTTCAAATGAGGCATGCCGCAGCACAACATACGTCTTGAACACCTTGACACTAGGGCTCTCTCTCTCTCTCTCTCTCTCTCTCCGTTTTTCCATTGCAGCTTGCACTCCAACACATTATTAACATTATAGATCAAGATTATCCACAACTCTGCTCAGTCTTCGAGAGCTGCTCTGCTGCCGAAACCCCTCTGGAGCCTCGTCTTCCTCTCTCTCTGCCAAACAAACCATCACGGCAGTCCGCAGAGCGCACAAGCTCATACGCACAGGTGCATGTGCGCACGTACACACACACCTCTTTAAGCCATTAGCTTGATGGTTAATTTGGGCTGGTTTCAAGATCCAGCAACAAGACGAATATGTGTGTTTGACAACAGGGTATATTTCAACTATTAGGTATATCACACTAATTGTTACTCAATAGTCCCATCAGTGCCTTCCCTCTCGTTTCTCGTCTCCATTTCTTCCCTCTTTAAGTCGTTTTTTCCCCCATGTCAGCAGTACAGAGTGTCCTTTCACAAACACACACACACTTACATCTCTGATGAAGTACTCCAGGGTGGCATAGGCGATGGCGATCCCATCGTGGGTGCTCGTTCCCCGTCCCAGTTCATCGAGGATGACTAATGAACGTTCGGTTGCGCGAAAAATGATCTCCGAGGCTTCGGTGAGCTCTTCCATGAACGTACTGCGGCCTTTGTAAATGTTGTCTGAAGCCCCCATCCTGATGATCACACAAAAGGAAAAAAGTGACAAGTCAGAGGTCAAAGGTGAAAGGGTGAGAGAGAGTTATGCACAATCATTTCAGACTGATTGCGTTGTCTGTTTTCAGGGTTAGATTGAAAGTTTTCCGTCATACTTTGACCCCTTTTATAGCTTTAATTTTGAGCTCCTTTAATAGAAACAAAATACACATTTACAGATGGCCTTGATGCAGTCATTGTTTGCATGCAACAAAGTTGGAAAAAATGAATTTCTTCTGTTTCAGAAAGCTGTGGAACGTTTTGATAAAACTCACCGATGGAAATAATGCAGGGTGGATCGTCTACATTTTAAAGCAACAGTACACGTTGCATGCAGTAAGAAATAAATTAAATTAACAATGCAAAAGTGCCATTTTCATAAGTTGTAGTCATGAAGCAAAAACATTATTGTAAATACTAAAACACAGAGAAGTACTAGAAGGCCAGAATCATCTAATTATTTTTGATTTGGGAATAATTTGTTTTCAGAATTCATGTCAATGCCTCGATTATAAAAATGCCACCTGTGGTTTGGATTCATTCTTTTTTAGATTTTGTGTATTTCTTCCACAAACTCAGTGAACCTGCTCCTCCTCTTCTCCTTCCACAACTACATACACACCGAGAAAAGAAGAGGTGAGATGGAAAAGGGAAGCGTGTGAACAAAGTGAGAGAAAGAAACTATAACACCGCGAGGTTCCTTTTTCTAAACCAAGCAGAAGAACAAGAGGGAAGTCAACCTGCAGCTGCAGGGCACGGGGGTGACGGTGCCGTTCTCTCGTGTGTCACATATGTCACAGTCTGACCTCCAGGCCTCAACATTATGCTCTTTTGAAGAGGCCACGTTCAATTCTCAACATTGTTTCCACGACTTGTGAAACTCTGCTTACAAATGTGTCTTCTCTTCTGAGGTTAATTGTGTTTAACATCCAGCCATTTGTGAAATTCCTCCAGGTTTTATTTTCTAATTAATCAGGATTTATCCTCATTCAGCCTGAAGCGTCGCAGATTAAAAAAATATTTAAAAAAAACAGTAAATAAAAAATGATTCTGCAACACTAACATGCCCCAAGAAATAAAAAAAGAATAATCTTGCAGCACCATCAATCGTTTATTCGCTTTGCATCCATTTTGTCATAAACAGAACGGATGCAGACTTCCAAATGTTATTTTATGTCCATGAAACTCATCAATGTCAACATTCATTGAAACTAAAACCTTGATGTGTTTTTTTTGGGCCAGTTTGGGTTTTATTTTTGAACTGAGCAGGTGCTCCAGAAGGGGTAGCTGGACTAATGTGAACAAAATGATGTGGACGCCTCCCTCCAGAACCATCGACATTAATCTGCTGCTATAAACTCCTTATACAGGAACACCAACATATTCTTGCGTGAGGCCCAACGTGTGATGAGAAACAACACTTACTGCACAGCCGAGACTGCATGTAATGACTGCATTGACAAATACTTCAAGCATAAGTATTGTTGATGATGTTGCACCGTCGCTGGAGGCAAAACTTTAAAGGCTATGGTGACAGAAGATCAAAAAGTGGAACGAGACTACCTTGAACACTTTTGATGTTGCCAACCGTCGAGACCGCGTCAAAAGATATCACCGATTACAGAGACACAATGACAACACGTTGACTTCTTTACACGCCTCACAGCCCGTTTGAAAGCACTGATACAGAATGACAGACGGAGCTGGGACTCCAGCTGGATCACAGATGCCCCGCCAGTCAGCTTTTTTTCTCACCTCCAAATCTGTCTTTTTCCCGCCTAGGTTGTCCTTCAACATAGCGCCATGTTATCAATGAACCACCGACAGGACCCCCAGCACACCAGTTACCACGGCTACGCCACACGCCACATCGGAGAGGGGTGTGGCCGACATGCTGCTGCATTTCATTTGCCAATTTCTAGTTTGTGCGAGGGCATGTATGCTAAGGCTCAGGGGGGATTATGACAATCAGATCTATACTGCGTGGCAGGAAGGACAGACGAAAAGATGGAGCGGCCTTCACACCACTGATGAGTGGACGTACAGCAACACACACACACACACACACACACACACACACACACACACACACTACCAGCTGGCTGTCCCGCTGCTCTGCATCCAGGTCCTCGTTCCCGCCAAATAAAACGATCCTGAAAATAGAGTCATTCATCATCACCGGCTCACACCTCTCCGGAACACACGATTAGCCACATTTCAAGTGTATTTCTGGAACTCAAGATGAATTTGTTGCTCTCAGATTGCCCAGTTATTTTACCTATTTGTACCTAATGACATCACTCTAATACAATATCAAAACTTCTTGTTTTTTTGGGAAAAAACGAAACAAAATCAAAGCCCCCAAAGAGAAAAAAAGTTGCATGGAGGAGCTGTGAATGGAGTTTAGTCTGGTTTCTTCAATGACAACGGCTGTCCTAAAGAAATTAAGGCTTTGCACGTCCTCTCAACCTGTTGCATCCTATGTTTTACTGATAACAGACAGAGAAGGTAAAAACACATTAACACCATTAGGTATAATAACATGAGCCAAGAACATCACGCAAAGCTGTTTTTGATTGTTTCGTGATTGGATTTTGCCTTCAAAGCTTGACTTTCTTTTGTTTTATTGACAATACATTTTTCTTGTTGTACTCCGTGTACTGAAGCTAATTGATCAGCAAAATCAGTTATCTTATTTTCTGATACTTATGTTTGGTTTGTTCAGCCTTTGTTGCTCCACTGATCCTGTGAGAGTTTAAATTGCAGTTTATTTACTTTTTAAACGTCGCCTACAAGATGGCACAAGCACTCTGACGCTGCAGCGCCATAACAACTCCATTTAGGATGCGACGTTCTTCCACACCGCTGTAGCTGATGATGTCACACGGCGACCCGTAGGCCCCGACGCACTCACAACAGTTTGTGAGGTCTTTCTGGGTATGAGCCACATTTCTGGGCCCCAAAAGAAAAGAGAGAAAAAATAAAATCTCACTGCATTTTCTGAGAGGAGGGGAGCTCGTGGAAGACTTTAGTAAAACACGCATAATCACTGCTACGAGTCCATGGCCGATTAAAAGGTCCTTTTCAAAAACGCTGTTTTCCATTCTGCTTCCTCTGGCTGTTTCCATAACAACCATGAAGGGATGGAAGAATGTGCTCTATAACCTTCAGGACTCAATGCCGACAATAAAACACACACACACACACACACACACACACACACACACACACACACACACACACA